CACCACTTTCAGTCGATCCTAATTCCAGTTTTCTGCCACTAATGACTGGAACTCTTTGCAACATTCCCTAAGACTCACCTCATACGTACCACTCTTGTCGTTCAAAAAATCAGTTAGAGCAACACTTCAGGACCACTGCCCCTATTTTTAGCCTCCCTATCTTATATGTCTTTGTGTAATTTGTGTTGTAACACTGTGTGAGTTGCTGTGCATGTAATCTGGTTTATCCGTTAACTTGTTTGTATGCCGCCTCTTGACCAGGTTGTTATTGAAAATGAGAACCACTTTGAAATTTACCTACCTGGTAAAATAAAGGTTAAATAAATTAAGAAATTCACTAACAGGCTACATACCAAAGGCTTTTAGGGTTGCTATAATAAAGCAACTTCTCAAAAAGCCTTCTCTGGATCCAGGTGTTTTGGCCAACTATAGACCCACATCCAACTTCTACTTCACTTCTAAAATTCTTGAAAAATGTTGTAATGTGACCATTTGCACAAAAATGCTTTGTTTGAAGAGTTTCAGTGAGGATTTACAATGCACCATAGTAAAGAAACAGCACTGATGAAAGTCACCAATGATCTTCAAATAGCCTCAGATAGTAAGGTCCTATGTTTGCTGTCTTCGCGGGTGTCCCTGGAGCTACATGTCTCTTATCTGCAGTCGCTGGCCCCACCAACTTCCAAAATGTACTATGTTGTGTTTGTATTGTTTGTCTGTTCTCCATCTGCAATTTTGCTATCCCCACCACAACCCCTCCTGCTTAACCCCCATCCTCCTCATCCCCACTCTCTCACTTTATTTTTTTTTAACCTCCCCGTTAAAGCGGTTTTATTGGTTCCTTTCTATCGTTGCTGACTGTTGCTCATAGGGAATCCAAAGCCAACTTTGGAGTGTTGGGTTCTTTGTTGTTTCTTTAAAATTTGTATGGTGTTTACCTTAATATGTGAAGTGTTATGAGATGGCATATGTTGTGAATTGGTGCTACGTAAATAAAATAAAACTGAATTGAATTGAATCTTCTTATAGCCTCAGCGAGTGGACGAGTTTCGATACTTGTCTTACTGGATGACAGTGCTGCATTTGATCCATCCATCTATCCATCCGTCATCTATATACCGCTTAATCCTCAGGGGACACCCTGGACAGGTAGCCAGTCTATCGCAGGGCTACACTTAGAGACAGACAACCAAGCACACTCACATTCACACCTATGGACAATTTAGAATCACCAATTAACCTCAACATGTTTTTGGACTGTGTGGGAGGAAGCGGGAGAACCCAGAGAGAGCCCACACTGCATGGGGAGAACATGCCAACTCCGCGAAGAAAGATTCCGGTGCCCCCACCGTGACGCAAACCGGCAACCTTCTTGCTGCATGGCAACCATGCTAACCAACTGCGCCACCTTGCAGCCTGCATTTGATACAGTTGATCACAACTCTATATTACAGAGAACAGAATATGGGGATGAAAGGAGCCACACTAAACTGGTTTAAATTGTTTGTATCAGACAAATTCCAGAGTGTTTGTGTTAATGATGATTCTTCCACTTACACCAGAGTTAGTTATGGAGCTCCACAGAGTTCTGTGCTAGGACCAATACTATTTACTTTGTACAAGCTCATTATTAAGAAACACTGCATAAATTTCCATTATTATACAGATGACACACCCAGATATATTTACCTATAAAGCCAAATGGAACCAATCAGTTCGTCAAACTCCAGACTTCTAGCTTGACCTACTGTAATTTCCTATTATCAGGATGCTCCAATAATTCTCTTCAAAACCTCCGGCTAATACAAAATGCTGCAGTCAGAGTTCTGACGGGAGCCAGTAAGAGCAACCATATTTCTCCCATATTAGCATCTCTTCTCTTCTCTTCCCTGTGAAATCAAGGATAGAATTTAAAATCCTGCTTTTCACATTATCTTAAAGGCCTTGTTGTACCATATTATCCCAACAGAGTCCTTCATTCTCAGACTGCAGGTTTATTTGTGGTTTTCAAAGTTTCCAGAAGTAGAATACACCACTATTACATATTACTAACTCTGTGTTTCCCTGAAGGTAGTGTAATGTTTGTGGCTGAGACTAATAAGTGTATCAGCAGCTGCAGTCACTCATAATCAGTTACAGTCATGCCACTAGGAAAATTTGATTAACACAGCTTTCTATATCACCAAAACTGATCACTCAAGTTTTTATTTGTATATCTTTGATCCACCAGATTTTGTCATATTTCCAGAAGATCTATAATAAATCTATGAAAGAAACGCAATGCACATTTTTTGTGACAAAGACACTTGGGTTTCAATGATTCCATTCTAGAAAGTTCCGAGGTAACGGCGTCCTTGAAAACGTGAGATTGTCATGATATACATGGTCTGTATAAGTGTATGGAAACTTTATGAGGCTGCTTTTAAGGTTTACAGTAATATATATAGTTTTGACACATTTACCCGTCAAGAAATTGTGTTGTCTTTCTTTCTGTACCATTAAGCCCCTCCTGTTTCTTCCTTTATTTTTTCCCCCCCGGATGTTTATATGATCAGTTTCAGTTTGAACCTTGATCTTTACAGTCGATCCAATAAATTGCAAAAATAGTAATAATAATAATAATAATAATAACAATAATAATAATAATAATAATAATAATAATAATTGTTATTATTATTATTATTTTAAAAATACTATACTGTAGATCATCACATTATTAGCATCACTTTATAAGGTCTGATTTATTTAATACATGTAAGTATTTAATATGAATTTATCTCATGTAAAAGTATTTCCAAACGCTATTCAGCACAGGCGTGGAACCAAACCATGTCAATAACTCCTCATCTACAGTATGATGCTGAGCCAGTCAAGGGGAGCATAGAACAAACCTTGTGTGAATGGAGACTATGTGACAGTATGATCATAGGGAAGTCATCAGCAAAGGTCTACGTATAATTAACAGCACAGATGTCATACAGTCTTTGTATTTTCATGCCAGGATTATAGAGAAGATTTATATCCCCTGAGATGTATCATGCCCAAAGGCAGCAGCTTACTTGTTAGTGAGTCTCTACTAAATTAACAAGAGTGAAATTGATGATATCATTCCAGTCCAAGCAGAGGTGTAGCGAAGCAAAATGCTGATAAAAACACCTTTTTTCAGAGGCTCAGGGAAGATAAGGGTAATGAACACACAGGTGACATGCCCTTCTATAGCAGAGGAGGGCATAGAAGAAGGACCTGTCACCAAGCAGCATGAGGGTCATGTACAGGAAGATTTTAGCTGGACAATGAGATGAGAGTGTGTTCCACAGACGACAATATACACTGCATAAAACACCCATCCTCACAAGCAATTTCACTACATATTATTCATGTCTTACAGTAAAGGAAAAATGCACCTTAACAGCTAATGGCAACGAATCTTTTAATTCTCAACTGAGTTTGCTGGTTGGTGTCTACAAATCACAGTTTTATGCCAATAATGAACAGCGATACAAAAAGAAATGTAGTGATAACAGACTGACGATAACTTTAAAATAAGAACTTATGTCGCTGCAATGCTTGTGTTTTAAGTAAAAGAACAACAGTTTGGTGAATGTTGGAAATCACTGAAGCACAATTACTTGGTATTAAATTTATGCCTGAATTCCAAATAAAGAGCCATTTTACTGACATACTGATATTACTCAAATTTACTGACAGAAACAGTTTCTTAGGATGAGGAATACACCCTGTAGCCTAGATGTTTCCAGACATAAGACCAAATATGTGACGAAATTACTTGCTTTTGCAGTGTGAACCATGTACGTTTTCTTTCTTTCATACATACACACAGATGATGACAGACAGGCAAGATGAGAGAGGTAGAGGAGGAATTACCCCATGAAGCTTCTTCAAAACGATCCAAGGACAGAAACAGTAAGAAGATCATGTCAATAATAACAATGCAACAAATTGCAACACACACACACACACACACACACACACACACACACACACACACACTTGCTCTTTCAAAATTTGTGAAGAACTTTGGTTCCACCTCTAACATGCTTTCTTCTGAAGATTAGACTTGTACTGCAAATTTCACGGTTTTGTGTGCTGGTGTTGATGAAACCCTGAGGAAACTGTTGCAATGAGCAGCAAACTTAGACAAAGAAAGAAAGCTGTTAAAAGCAGTAAAGGCAAAGCTAGGCTGTTCATCCCTCATCACAGAATTTACTCATCGGAATCAAAAAAGTATTTCTATTCTATTCTATTCTATTCTATTCTATTCTATTCTATTCTATTCTATTCTTATAACAGTTACCACACATCATCTGATATCATTCATACACATCTGAAACAAAAGGACATTATGCTGTAAAATAACATAATATCAAAGCAATATTACTACACTAGAAACTGCATCGCACCTAAAACATAAAAATACATGCGGATAATTTTTCAGCATTCATAAATAGAGGTGGAGGTTTCTAACAGGATTCACTTTCCTTCTAATAGAGCTTTACAATGACATTTGATTAAAGCATGCTCTGCCAATCTGGATGGCAGAGCATGCATTAGTATGAGTGCCATAAATAGGGGGTAATCACTAACTACTGAGTCCACTATGATTCAGCATCTAGTGGTTTGGCAGGGTAGCTGAGTGACCGTCTTTCTTAAGTGGTGACAGAACTTCAGTTATAGGATGTGACAAAATGGTAAGTTGTTCCAAGTAGGCTTCACTCTATACCAGTCCTCATCAAAAGATGACCTCAGGTATGACTTCTGTTAAATTACCTTCCAATTTATGGTCTTAAAATTCCTCCAATGAATATTTGACAGAGCACCATGAAATATTATCCAAATTATGTGTCTTTGAAGTTTGGTACACACTGGATGTTAGACCTGACACACCAGATTGTTCTGCCAAATCTGATGATCAGAACTGATGCTATACAGACTGCAGATGTCTAATTTTATAACAAAAAGGTAGGAGTTGTTGAACTTACGAAAATGCAAAGGCCACCAGCGCCCCACTAACCACTATGAAGTCCAGAATGTTCCACAGGTCTCTGAAGTAAGAACCAGGATGAAGCAGCAGGCCGAGGTCCACCATCTAAACCGAAGACATTCCTGTTAAGTCATTTTAGTTTTTATTAAATTGGTTTTTAATTTATGCTGTTTTATTTATATTTCTATTTATTTGAAATGAACAAATATGAAACTATGCCATCAAGCCTGTACTGGCCCAGTCTGTTCTATAAACCTTTTGTGGTGATTATTGGCTATCGTATAACATTGTTGTTGTTGATAATTACTTACTATTTATTAATAAATCAATTGCTTAAGAAAGGATGTCTTAAGAAATAAATGTGTGTTACACTAATCAGTGACAGACAGTAAAAGGCATTGACTTTTATGACAATGCAGTGACTTATGAATGAAAGGATAGTAATGCAGCCTGATAGGTGGAGTAGTCACCGTGGTAGTAGTCACAATGAGGTGAGGTCCTGTCACTGACTGCCTCAGTGTCCTCTTCACATTCATCACTTAAATACTTTCAGTAAGCAGACAGCATCAGCAAGACACTTTTGATGAATTATAATCCAAAATATGATCATCACAGTTTAACTATAAGTGATGTCATGATATTATTAGTGCTTACCTTAATCACCATTTCAAAAGTGAAAACTCCAGTGAAGGCATAGTCCAGATATTTTAGTACCTGCAAAAGAGAGATCTTATTAGTACTGGCACAGACATCAAAGTAGAAAGAGCAATGTGAAATTATTCTCTAGGCTCATGTCTTGTGCAATAATCAAAAGTCTCATTTCAGTCTGTAGATGTGTGTTTTTTTAGACACCACATGTGTCAGTATGGAGCACTGGATGACAAGCTACTAAAATATATATATTGGGCTTCGCATTACATACCCATTTACTTTAACAAGTACACCAAACAGCACACTAACAAGAAAATAAAAAAGAAATAAAAAAATAAAACACTTTTTTTTCAGTTTTGTATGTGTGGGTGCCATGCATATGGCAATATGTTTATGAGTGAAGTTCATGTGCACTGTGTCTCACATTGTTGCGAGGGGCATTTGTCCAGACAGGGTCCTCTGCTGCAAGAGCGATGCTGCTCATAGCAATGACAACAAGGATAGACATCTCAAAATAACGTAGGGTCACAACATAGTGACATAACCGCCTCACCCTGAGGAGAAAGAGGCAGAGACACAGTGAGCAATAGCTGCTATCTTCTGACTATTAATTTACAAAAACAGACACATATACAGTTGTGCTCATACCCTGGCAGAATTTGGCTTTTTTTGGCCATTTTTCAAAGAATTTGAATGATAAGAGAAACCTTATTTTTTTTACTCGTGGTTAGTAGTTCGGTGAAGCCATTTATTGTCAAACAACTGTGTTTACTCTTTTCAAATCATAATGACAATAGAAACTAACCAAATGACCCTGAAGCTCATAAAGGCATATTGGCACCTAATAGAGGACACTGGTGATTTTAATACAAGTAAAGGGAAATACAATTCACAATTGTAATTGCCAGCTTCTATTGCACAAGAAGCTTCACGTACAGTATATGATGCAAAAATACTTCTCACTGAAAATGCTTGGTAAAATTGAAAACCAGCCAACATAAAATACAACACAAAATTATTGCCATTCAGAAACATGACAGATAGCCACATCATGAAATGCAAAGAAATATGATTTGCTTTTGAAAGCTTGTATTGTCATCTTTTTATTTGTGTTATGCATTTTTGATTTGTGTGTCACAGTTTTTTCGCCATGTTTTGCAAATTTTCTTTGCATTTCTTTCTATACGTTTGTCCTTCTCAGGTTGTCTGACTTAGGTGGATTCAATTCAATTCAGTATTGTATAGCGCAGTTTACAACATATGTCATCACACAGCGCTTAACAAAGAAAGGTATAGACCTTACAAATTTAAACAGAGAACCCAACAATCCAAAGTAGCCTTTGGCCTCCCTCTGAGAAAGCGGTTGGCAACGGTGGGAAGGAACCAACAGCAGCAACATTTGTCTCCTTCTGCAGGTTGCAAGTTTCTCCTTCCATTCTGCATTTCCAGCAACCTCTCTCTCTTGCTACCACCACCAGGTTGGCAGCACATCTCAGTTTAGATAACTGCCTGCTTGCTTCTTCTGCAGCAGTGGTTGACTGACCTGCCCTCACAACCGTTTTGACCATGAATGTCCTCCCAATATTCATATCTTCTTTTAATCTCCTGTAACTACCTAGAACCAATGCAAGTACAGAGAGTTGATACTATTTCAGATCATTTGATATTCAAGTGATACTGCATAGGGGTGTAGCCACATCTGTTGAATACTGCATAAATACTGCAGACCCTTGTAAATACAGACACAACAAAATGTATAACAAAACAAAACAAAACAAAACATGGAGATATACAGTATATTACAATAATTAGTAAAGAAAAAAAGAAACTAAATATGGCAGTACTTGAACACATTAAATAAACTCAATAAACTCAAAGTCTAGCATAACGCTCATACCAAACAACCCAGTCTCACGGCAGTTCGTGAAATAGTCAGGAAATGTGAATCTATTGGTTCACTTCCAGGAACACGAATTGCCTGAAATTTTCTTGTCCCACACTAAGAGTTTCAAACTAATGCATTTCAATTGGACTTATCATTTGTGTCTGGGCCACATTATTTTTTTCCCTCTATTAGACAGCGCATATGCTGTGATGTTTTTGTTGTTCTTCTCTTCAAACAGTCATGCACTTCCTAGTGTGGATGGGTCATAACAGTAAAACTGTCCATCCATTATCTATACACCGCTTAATATTCACTGGGGTCATGGGGGGCTGGAGCCTACCCTAGCCGACTCAAGGCAAAGGCAGGGGACACCCTGGACAGGTTGCCAGTCTATCGCAGGGCTACACAGAGAGACAGACAACCAAGCACACTCACATTCACACCTACGGACAATTTAGAATAACCAATTAATGTTTTTGGACTGTGGGAGAAACCTGGAGATCCCGGAGAGAACCCACGCTGCACAGGGAGAACATGCAAACGCCATGCCGAAAGATCCCGGCCGTCCTACGCGGGACACGAAGTGGGGATCTTCTAGCTGCGAGGCAACGGTGCTAACCAGCGATGCACCGTGCAGCCCTGACACACACTACATATAGTACAAAAATTAGGCTGTCACATACACTGTGACAATTTAAAAAAATACCATGCGGAAGTAATAAGAAATTGTCATTAAAATACTATTCAGAATACTGTAAGAATCAAATGTTTATTGTATATACAGGCCTACGAAAACCACAGACACTCCTGTAAGCTGTCTATGTCGATATGTCTCTCTGGATTTTCCGGGTCCAAAAGCATGTTGAGGTTAATTGGTGATTCTAAATTGTCCGTAGTAGGGCCGTGACAGAATCGTTTGGCCAAGAACATGGACCCTGCGATCCCCAGCACGTTTAATGAGGCCCTCAACGCTCAAGGGATCCTGCTTGGCAAGCATGATCAGTTGCTGCAGGGAGTTATGGACTCATTACAGACTCTCTCTCTGAGTGTGCAGGGAATCTCCTCGCAGCTGGATCAACTGGCGGCTGACAGTACTACGACTCCACCGGACCCCCCTGCGGGTGCTTCTTCTGACTCTGCTTCCTCTCTTTCTCCTTCACCCAGAGAGCCCAGGGTTCCCAATCCCGAGCCTTACGCCAGGGAGTCGGGTTCTTGTGGCCGTTTTTTGTTAAATTGTCAATTGGTGTTTGATTTACAGCCCATTAGTTACCCGTCCGACAAGGCCAAGATAGCGTTTTGCATCAACCTCTTACGAGGTCAAGCGGCTCAGTGGGCTACTGCACTTTGGCAGAACAAGTCGGTTTTATTGAGCTCCTATAAGACGTTCACTGCCGA